ACGTGAGAGGTGAGACGGAAGAGAGGAGGGGCGGATAAAGGAGAGCTCGATTCGATCGATCGGCATTCGGCAGCAGCACCACTGCGCTGCGGTAAAAGGTGTAACCACTGAAGTACGCTGGTCAGTGAAAGGTGAAAAAACTGATCTCTGCCATGGCGGACGCATGAGCATGACTGCATGTCTGGGTTTGGTTGCGTCAGTCACAGCCTCTCACATCAAAGAGACCACCACGAGTCAACTCTCGATGCCAATCGAGTCGATTTACACTTACACCTCATCCTTTTGGTTAATTATAGTCCATCGGGCAATCATCCATTATACAGTCCTACATAATTAAACATCAGATGGGTTGTTAGTTAGGCACTGTTTAACTAGTGCTAAATTCACCGGCCTAATGCCCTAGATCATGGACTAATGGTAGGCTCAAGTGGCATGCATGATGCACGCGCAGCAGTTCAGCACAGGCCAACAAAATGAAGGCTTGCAGCAAATTTAAAAGCTTCGAGCACCAAGCTGGATGCCAATGAAAGCTAGCAGCAAATTGAAGTCCAAGTGCTAAATCCAGCTTGATGCAGTCAATGGGCTAGCAGCAAATTCAGGCTTACATCAGCTAACTTACATAGCTCGCTGATGGCCAATGGGCTCTAGCTTAGACATTGCCGCAGTCAATCTGTACACAGCTGTATCGATCGCTTGCACGAGCAGACGCATACGTGAGTGCATCGATCGGACGGGCAGGTTGATACGCTGCGAAGAATCTTCGAGGAAACGACGACGACAGCGCCCTGTTGTCTGAATAAATTTTTTGGCCTGGGTCGTATCGTATTGGCGTATTGCCCGTGTGGTGTAGCCACACGCCGTGTTTGGGATCCACCGTTTAAGCTGCCAAGATTCTGTACCTCCTGCTCTTTATATTGTATATATAATCCCCCGTTCGTCTCTTCTATCGGCGCTGTAGCCAGTATTGGAAACTACATCGCTTGCATTTTCAGATTCAGATATCTGCCTGCCTGCCTGCAGTACAGCAAGGGCATATTAGCATGTGTACTTCATGCATGCAGAGTACAGCAAGGGCATATTACCATGTGTACTTCATGCATGCAGTAACACGCTGCATGCAGTACGTAGTGACCCTTTTACACATGCATGCTCCGTGACACCTCGACGCAGTCCATCCACTGGATCGCGTGGAGTGCGTACGGGGCCAGGGGCACGGCACACATGGATGATGCAACCAGGTGGTACATTTGCAACACCTTTGGGTGCCTAGACAAGTGCAGGAACAGTAACTTCAGTACCGGAATGCTCCGGTCCAATGGCTACGAAACCATGCATGTACCAACAAAATGGCTCGCGGGTGCATACCATTAACTGTTTAATCCTCCAGCACACAGCTGATTGTTTGCCATAAACAGTTCGACTATCTCGAACGGTCCATACCTATATCAGCGACGCATTCCAGAAATTAGGTTCGGCACAGTGAATACGTCCCCAGCCCAAATCCTTCCTTCTCCAACAACCCTCCTCCCTTTTTCTCTCAGAAGAAGGCGGCGGCGGCGGCTCTCATCTCCCTCCACTCTCTCTCTTCCTCCACTCTCTCTCTCTCTCTCCCTCCGTCCACCTCTCTCGGTGGAGATGCGCCCGCCGGCGGAGGTCCCGATGGCGGTGAGGGCTCGGCAGAGATGCGCCCGCGCGGCCCCTGCTGGAGATGTGCCCGTCCAGCTGTCGGCCACGTGCCCGGCGGTGGCGGCCATCTCCCACGCGGCTCCAGGCATCGGTGGCGCACGCCCCCGCGGTGGATCTAGCGCGGGGGCCGTCGCGGCTGGGAGGGCGGTGCGGATCTCCTGCACTGCGCGGGGCTCCCACGGCGGTGGCGTGGTCTCCACCACCACGGCGGCAGCGCGGGCTCCACCACTGTCTGTGACGAAGGCGGCGGCGGCCCCCACGCCGGCTCCGGAGTTGAGCTTGGCGAGGGCGAGGAGCTACGGGAAGAGGACGAAGGCGGTGGCTGCCGCGGAAGACTTTGCGTCTTGGAGAAGGACGACGCAAATATGCCTCCCGGTCGACCTCGTCCTCAAAATGCATGCTCTGATTGCGTCGTCTGTTGGAGCTGGCTAAAACACTGTGCATGACCGATTTTAGGTATGCGTCGCCCTTTGCGTGAGCCGTTGGAGACAGTCTTATGACCAGCATGGTAGCTCATAGAGCATCGCTTTGTAGGTGCCGGTTTTTTTATAAATTTTTTAGCTAGCTAGGCTGCTCTAGGGTGTTGTAGTTATTGAATATTGAGGGGTCAGCAAGTTTATATTTTTGCTTGTAGTTGTAGCCATGTGCCCCAAGGGGCTTGGGGCTGAGGATATCCACCAACAATACATAACATCACAAACATGTCTAGGCCGGTGACACATTTCACCGAGCCAATCATGGTCACTTCGCACCTGCACGGCGTTTTTCTTCTCATGTTGGCCATTTTGCTTTGAAAATGGTAAGCTACGCAGCTCCACTCCTGTCCAGACCCTCTTGGTTCTTGGCCCTAGTCTTTGGCCTAGGCAGCTCTCTCTCTCTTGGTCCATAGGCATTGAGCTCGTGTTTAGTTGGGGGACAAAGTTGGAATTTGGCTACTGTAGCACTTTCGTTTTTATTTAACAATTAATATTCAATCATGGACTAATTAGGCTCAAAACGTTCGTCTCGCAATTTCCAACTAAACTGTGCAATTAGTTTTTTGTTTCGTCTACATTTAATGCTCCATGCACGTATCGCAAGATTCGATGTGATGGCTACTGTAGCACTTTTTGGGAAAAGTTTTTAGAACTAAACGCGCGGTGAACGGATCAAACAGTAGTGTTGGGGTTAATTAAGTAATCTAGGCTTCGTAGGTAAGATTCCTTTTAGTCCTTCTATGATGCTCCCTGCTTTTGCTTACAATAGTGTTAGTATCGCAATCACAGCTCGAGCTAACCATTTGGCACTTTAGACCAGAATCCAGGCTGTGGACGGCCTACCCGGTCAATACAACCAGCCAGCGAGGCCTGTCGGCCGGTATTAAAGCCGACTTTGGCTAATTTGTTGTGAGAGAAAATATTGTAGATTCTAGCTGATAAGCCGACTGATAAGTTCAAACGAACAGGCCCGGCGGCTTATCCGCCGGCTTTAATACCAGTCGAACAGGCCTTGCTGGCTGGTTGTATTGACCGGGTACGCGGCCAATTATTAGGAGGAAAACACATGTTTAGCTTCTTCACTATTTTCGTTCTTGCTATCATGCTAACACAACCACAGGAACCATTAGATTTACAGTGATAGCTGCCAAATGTATAGCTTACAATCATGCCAAGCTAGACATCTGTCGTTACTAAAAATCTGGGGGAAACCAAAATGTAAACCAGAAGCCGGCCGGCTTCATGGATAAGGCTGTCAAGAATCCATTGTAGTCCTTTTAGCTTTCTTATAGTATGAGCTCCTTTAAGTGGCCTGTTCGGGAGGCCGTATCGTATCGTGTATTATTTACTACTGGCTTGTCTGATGTGAGAGAAAAATACTGTTTCCAACTGAAAATTTACGATCGTTTACGAGCAAGCGAACAGACCGAAGGTCAGTGGCCGCCATGCATGCTCAAATGCCCATACATCCAGTACTACGAAGGATGTGCCCAAAAAAAGAAAAAAGAAAAGGGCAACGAACGACATAAAGGCTCCCAAAGGACAAGGAGTGCGCTACTCATGTTTGCTTGTGCCTAAAAGCTCCGAAGGCCAAGCAAATGCGTCTCTCATTGTTTTCCTCACACGGAGCCAAACCAAGTATAGTTCTAAGCAGCAAGATCATTTTGCTGTTTTGCAGTTGCACTGCCTCATAACCATGCCTTGCATTGCATGCATGTTTGATGTTTCCCGTACTAACTGAAGCGGAGTGCACTTTGAGATGAATGAAGACACCTTTCCGAAACTATACAAAACTAATGATGGAGAAATAGTGCTTGTATGAACCAAACCCAAGCTTCAAGCATCATGTAATCCACTTGTGGTTATGGAGTGCTCTAGACGTCAAAAAGAGGGGGCTAAAGATGAAAGGAGAGGAACATCATGATAATGCACACAGCAGCGGAGCACGCATGTTGTAAAAGCGTATCTTTTACCTGGATTCTCACCAGACTTTCAGTTCGGCCGCAAGCTGACCTGTGAACTGTGATCCATCGAGATCGAGGTATCGACCTTTGGTCAATGGGTATGTCATCAGTCAGCCACTCTCCAAGTGGAGACCTATCAGCTAGCCCGGTTCACTTGTCTTATAAGCTATACTTTTTTAACCAACGAACAATATTTTTCTCTCATAACAAATCAGCAAACAGTACTTTCAGCCATGGCTTATCAGCCAAGCGAACATGGCATATTCACCAGTACAAAGGCTGCCTGAAGCCCGCCTGCTTCACTTGGCAACTGCTGTCCGCTGATGATTGAGCCACTTGCTACTGTAGAGTTTGATAAAAGTGATAATGGCTGTTGATGACCGCAAGTGTATGTTTTTACTACGCAATACACACAATGGCACAATGAAGTATGGTTATTGTTTTTTTTGGTGTTGCATGGCCTATGGCTATGGTACAAATTGCTTAAGGAAAGCAGTAAGCAATAAATATTATATATGGGGCTACTCCTTGAGCACCTAAAGGCGTAAACTATAATCTGGCAAAGACTCCTGCTAAAATCACAATAGGCAAATATTACATGTCACACATGTATTCTCAAACAATTCAACAAATTTAAATTTATTTCCAACAGCAAGTGTCATGGGCCACTTGAGGGAAAAAGAGCATGTCGGCCACCAGAATAGTTTTAACCTCATTTTTCCACTTACACATGTGACTACATTTCTGGTCGATGTTTAACAAAGGGTTAATACCTGAAGAAGCCAAGATGTTCTGAGACTGCAACACAACGGTCTCTATTGTACATGAACTGAGAAAATCTGCCGGCAACTGCTAGAGGATAGGTCAGATGCTTTCAATGTGAATTATTATGCTTGGTGTGAGATTCAAGATATGAGATCGCAAGGTCAGCAGCCTTGCTTCCTGAAGCTATAACACTCCCAACAGCAAGCCCATCCTTGTTATTTCCTACAAGAAAATAAAGTCCAATTAAACTTTTCAACCTATAACACCGAAATTTGGGGTTACTACTATGGTTCACTAACTATTATAAAATTATTAATTATATGTTTTGTTTTGTAAGAGAACTCATTTCTGAAGAAAAGGAAAACGAGTTGTCATGGGACATCATAAAATCATAGCTGATTGACTAGATGTTGCACAAATGTTGTGGTAATCAGTAAGGCAGTAAACAAGGGGCATAGTTCATATATCTAACATTTGTTTTAAACAAGAGTGCATCTAGTGGCCTACCTGCGTAGAAGAACCCTGGAAGATTTTTCTCCATCTTTTCTATAGCTTCCAATACAGAATTGTAATCATGGCCATACAAAGGAAAAGCATTTCCCCAGTATATATGCCTGAGTACCACCAAAAAAATAAAAACAGAAAAAACATGACCATGTGGTCCAAAGATTTGCACAGCCTTAGTCTCCCTAAAAGATGACAGACAACAATACCAGTACAAGAAAGGAAAAGAACATATAGCAAATGAGTAATACCTACAATTAGAAGCTGTAAGTTTACGTACTTACTTGACAAAAGTCGGTTGCCCCTCTACACCCAAGAGTTTTTTAAGGTCAGAGGTCACAAGTTGTTTCAGAATAGACCTGTATAAGTACACTATCAGAACGATCTAGTTTAAAAATGAGGAAACAACATAAATCATCAAATATAAGATTTATACGTTGGAGCCCCAGCAAGATCTCTATTGTGGCTACCCCCAACAAACGTTGTATATAAATATTGGTCATCAGGAGCTCGATCTGGGAACATCATTGAGGAGAAGAGAGTCCCTACACGATAAACATTGGCACATGTAAAGATGAGGAACAGAGTACTCAACCAAACCAAAGTGCGAAGTACGAGGCAAGCTGCTCTATGCCATTTAATTCATGGCTCAAAATAACAAGAATTGCAAACTAAAAAGAGCCCAAAAAAGGCTGAGCTGACCTACCAAGGGTTTTCAGACCATGTTTTTGCTGTTCCTTGTAAGGTATTAAAACCCCAAATCCTTCCAGAGGTTTCTTGACATCTTCCTTCTTAAAAGCGGTCACCATAAGAGATAGTGGTAGATAATCCACCTGCATAATTTGAAAAAGACTAAAAATGAAATGTGGATAATGAAAGCAGTGACATCTCATGATTGTAAAATTGTCTATAATATCTTGCAAAAACAACAATGTCAATTGTTGTGTTTCTTAACCTAAAAGGTTGATCCTAACCTGACCTTAGGAAGAAAGTCTAGAACAAAGGGAGCTCCACCTTTTGTGAACTTCATCCTCTGGACATTTGACAATGGAGCCTGAAGTAAAAAAATAAAAAAGGCAAATATTATTGTTTATGACTGTGGTTGATGTTGATAAAAGCCTGACTGCGAACAAAATTACCAAACTGGTAAACTCTACAGATCAATGGCAACCAATTTGCCAGATCGTTGACCAGAGACCAAAACTCTAAAAGGCAGATGCAGGTTAGCAGTTCTTACTGTCATTATAACAGCATCAAAGGTTTGGTTTTTAGCAAGGTCCTTGCCGTTAGCATCCTTCGAATCAACAGAAATTGACCACCCGCCTGGTGCAGGGACTCCATCAAATGTACATGCCAATGACAACACTTCTGTACCAAGCTTCACATTATCATCTCCAACTTCATTGCGAAGTGCATTTATTAGTGACTGAAATAACACAACTTTTAAACTTACTCAACCAGAAAAAGAAAACATATAGGAACTTTAACAACATAAAATGTCAGACAGTATTATATTGTACTGCTACAAAACATGCATTCCATAGAGTGGGTAAGGGATAAGGGGCCAAGGTAAGTATCAAAATCTAGATTTGTGTGTATTTCTCATGATAGATGAGTATATTCAGGACTCATCATTGCTTCCATGCAAACAATCTGCAATGTCTAAAACTTATCATTTGCCTAAAAGACATACTTTAACTTCAATTTATTTGCTCAAAACACATATATCTTTGCAAGCTAATAAGCATGTATCAACTCTACAAACAATGATTATGGTAGCCTGGCAGGATGTAACAGGGTCACTTGAGTTGGATATGGATGTAAACCATAACCACACACTAACAGCTTTTATGGGTTGTGAGACTTGTTAAAGAAGTGGTACTCATTGTCCTTGAGTTGAACAAACAAAGAACTTGCACGTTCTGAAATCTGAACTCACCATTTCTAATTGGCACCAACAAAATTATTAGAGCTGATGAAAATTTTAAGGGCACCTAACCAAAATCTTTGATAGTAATAAAACAAATAAAAGGATTTCAATCAAGGGATTCTAATCGAGAAAAAAACAATGGAGGAATACCTGCATTCCACCATGAAATGAAAATGACACGCGTCTATTCCTTCTTTTCTCTGATGAATCAGGTCTTGTCTTTACTGGATCACCTTTAGCTGTTAGCTTAGACAAGATGGCACCAACAATAACTGAACCATACCTGGGAGCACAGGAGCATGAAGCAACATGGTTAGAAAAAAAGATTGTAAATGAACAAAAAATAAGGTCTAACCATATTTGTAACAACAGAGTGCTGAATTTTAAATTTCAAGAAAAAAATAGCACTAGGTGATGATAAAAAGAAAAGGAAGGCAAGTCTGGTGCAAACAGGAAGCAGCAATGCAGCATCCACAGGTGTTCATCTGCCGGTGCCCAATTCATGAAACTCTTAACAGAAAATCAAAAGGTAAAGTAGCTACTTAAAGAAAGACATGAGAAACTAAGATTGATGGTAATATAATAAAATGCTGGCTTGAAAGATCACAACAGTTTCAAACTGATATGATAATATTGTACAACAGTATGCTGGTGTTAACATAAGAATGCACAGAAAGAAACGAGATAGCAAAAGGAAGAATATGAACAAGACAACTATATTGGAAAAGGCAATAAAAACAAACTAAAGCAATAAGCAAGAAAATTGGCATGCAACTTACTTTCTTTCCAAATTCCACAATGCTGGGAATGCATGACGAATCTGCACAAAACAAACAATTGCTCAAACCAACATAGAAGTTAATGATCTGATCATATAGGCTGACGATTTTTGCGCTAAAAACACAATCAGGCACATGTACTGTTACGCATAATTAGTTACATAAACAATTTACTGTGAGAACACGAAGCAACATGCATATCTAAAATCCATAAACGCCAAAAAAAAAGGGAAAGAGCATATCAACTCACAGATAGTGACTCTGGATCTCCTGCACTTGTTCCAGCTACAAATGGATCAATAAGATAGTCAACAACCTGTAAGAAATTTACATGTTCTTAGGTCTTAGCCATGGCTCATTCTGATGTTGACTGAAGCTGTTAACTTTCAGTCACTTGATCCATAGTTCCTTCCAGAAAAGATAACTCACTTCTCTTCCAAAGTGGCGTTCAAAGAAGCTCCCAACACTGCAAACGTTTTCAAACATGATAATCCTATTATCTCCACATTCAAAAGAAAATATTGCAATGGTGTATAATATATGGGATACCATGATATATTGATATTCAGAATTTGAGAATACTGAGGAAACGATAGGTATAAGATATATAGCTCAAGACTTACTAAGAAACTAATACTAGTATGATATATGATTGCAATTTTAAATTTCATATCAATGCAAGACATGAAGAGTATGAAGGTTCACCTCTCACTCAAATGCTCATCAGACACTTTTCCAGAGTTTCTTGTGTTAGCTTTCTTGTAGAGAAATGGTTCAAAAAATAACTCAATCTGCAAAGAGCCAAAGATAAAACATAATTCAGTGAAACCAAAATGACATAAGCACCAAAAATTATAAATGCATAGCTTGAAGAAAAAAACGGAGGAATATAAGAATTTATCAAGTAGTTAACTTAAAGTAACTACTTCAATTAATGGTGGTAAGCATGGATACTAGCAATGTTATGATATTTTGTTAGTCAACAGTTTGTACTCAATGACTGAACATACCTTTGATTTTGTAGAAAGAACACTGCTTTTCATTAGCGAAATGGGATCCGAAGGAATCTTATGAGACCAAAAGGCAGGATATTCAAAGGTGAGGCAGAATACTTGAAGAAAAGAGAGACAAGCATGATTACATCAAAGCCCTTTTACCAGTGCTGGTGCTCCGTCTTTGACAATGTAACGCTTGTGTTGGGAGTTAGGCTGAAGCAGATATTGAACCATCAGCTAAATGAAATGGAAACAGATAAAAAACATCATTAAAAAACAAGGAATGCTTCGTGGGCAACACTTGCACATACATACTGCTGTTTGTCTTGTAGACCGAGATCATCAATCAGTCTACTGGCCTCCAATTCACCTTCTGTCTGCAGGCAAAAAATCAAGTAACCTCATCAACTAATCTGCTAGCCATGGGTGGATACACGCTGGCCCTAGGCGTGGGCCCAAAACCTCTCCTATACCCTCATTAATTCTAGGCCTAGTCAGGTTCATGGTTTTTGAGGCATTGTGGCATCCTGTGGCGCTGGGGGTATGCCTGGACGCCTAGGCGATGTTGCGTAACTAAAACCCTGTGTCGTCCTACAGCGCCTCGGGTATGCCTCAACGCCTAGGCAACGCCTCAAAAACCATGGTCAGGTTTCCTATAAATTGGTCTGAGGTGTGGCCTAGCATAGCAATAGAAGTCCATCAGTTATAAGCTGAGTCATCAAGTCACATGCTAATTCAAGCAGATAGGACGGTCGTGGTTCGCCCAGGTGCATGTCGGCCTGACGGCCTTGCATCGAAAAATTGCCCACCGCCCACTTGCTCGGCTCTCACACTCCCTCCCTCGGCCACTCCCACTAGCCGGGCGTTAACTAACCCTAGCGGCGACGTGGCTGGACCTTTAATAGTGCCAGCCCAAACCTGGACACAGCACCTAGAGGCCAGACCTAGACACCAGCTCCACCGATGCCCAGTGAGGCTGCAAACGAATGGGTCCTGTGGTGCTGGTCGCCTGGTCCAGCAGTGCAGGAGATGCAGAGAGGTGGTCTCCCAGTGCTGTACTGCTGGTGTGCGATGCCACAGGTGGAAGCCAAACAAGTAATGAAGGCAGTGTTTCATTCCTCATTTCCTCCTGATTTCCCCAATTAGACAAACTCTACGTTCAGGTCCAATCCTCTCTATTTCAAATTTTCAATTGAACAGATTGAATTCATGAGTTATTTATGCTGCAATTGTAGAGTGTAGACTTCTACTAAAATTACACAATGAAAAGAACCAATACTCCATTTTATTCTCCAGTATGTTATGTTCCCTGTTATCCATTTTTGTTCACTAATAAATTTTGTTTTATATTGCATCCCCTACTGATTTTAAATGTTCAAACTTTCGTGTATAGGTTCAAGTTCACTTGCTAATGTAGATGATATGATAGGCATGGATGAATCAAATGATGGTAAATAATTAGATACTTATTTTGTACAACATCATATTTTTATCATGTTTGTTGCATAAACGTGAGTTGAATTGAGAATTGAGATATCTTCTAAATTATGTATTCTATCCATTGCTTTTGTGAACTATCGGTATGTGGATCTATTATAGATTTCTTAGGCACTTAGATACTGGCTCTAAGCGCAGATTTTTGCCATCTCCGCCACTGCTGCTGGCCTTATAACCAATCTACACACAAAACAAGGAGGTTGTTCAATTGGGTCATCTTACTGACTACTGCCTAATGGCACAATCAAAGTCACGCGGATGCAAGCAGCTATGCAGAATGGCACAACTGAAGCCATGAAATTGTAAGCAGAACCGAAATGCTCTCACCATGGTGTTAGCTCCTTCATCCCAGAGAAACCCGCCCTCCGAATTGGTCCGTATCTTTCCTCCCGCCCTGTCGGCCGCTTCGAACACCGTCACGTTCACGCCGCTCTTCCTGAGCCTGTAGGCCGCCGCGAGCCCGCTGCACAAAGGCACAGAGCACCCCACCAGGCCACCACCATTTCATCAAACGCCTCAAAGGCACAAACACGCACCAAAACCCTCTCACACCCGAGGCTCGGTGAGGGAAGAGCGCTCGCTCACCTGACCCCGGCGCCGACGACGGCGACCGACCTGGCGGGCGTTGCGCGGGGATCGTCGGAGCCCGCCATCGCGAGGACCGGACGTAGGCGGGGGCGCGCGGAGGTGGGGCGATAAGGATGGGAGTGGGACGAAGTGAAGGAGGCGGTGGCAGTCCAAGTGAGCATTTGAGTTGGGGTTTGGAGCTGGATGGGGATTTTCTTGTTGCCTTGTGCGCGGATTGGAGTTGCTGGAGGTGAAGGGATGGAGGGTGGACTAGTCGCCGTCCCGCGGCGCCTTTCAAGTCAAAATGGATTTTGCGAAGGTCAAATGGTGCCTTTTCGGTGGGTCTCGCACGCCGTTTCGCACGGCTGATATCGCTGAAAGCCTGAAACTCGCGGCGACGCTTCCAGCCTTCAGGCTTCACAAGTCACAACTTACAACTGGCAAGAGCTTGATCAAGTATACAGACTTGGAGGAGAAGAAAGATATATGAACAAAACTCTTACTAGAGAAAATTTTGCTAAATCCAATCCAGATCCGCACTTGCTAAAGAAAATTGTACTCCAATACTGACCCTAGTTGGATCCATGGGTTGATTATGGAGCTCAATCCACTGGCCGGTTGTTATCAAGGAAGCACAAAGCTAGCAAAACAAGTGGAAGCAGGAGTTGCAGGACCACAGACCGAAGTCCGAGAATGTTAGGGCCTGTTTGGACGGCGCCTGACGCCACGTCCAGCATGCGGCTGCGCCGAAAGTTGGGTGACCAAATTCGCTGCCACACATTTGGCGTGTTTGTGTCTAAAAATAGCTTGCATGCATGCTGATAAGTTGCGGCGGCGCCAGAACTACGGAAACAAAGCAAACACTAACTGAAGTGAGGCGTGGGAGGTGCGGCGGGCTTTGGCGGTGTTGGGCAATGAACCAAACAAGCCCTTAGCTACGAAGGCCCACAACAAACCACGCCGAGCGCCAGAGTTTATGGCAGTGCCAGAGACTGTGGTGGCAAACACCCACGCCACATATGTGGCGAAAAATGCTACTAAGAGTTTGTACAAAAATCTGTGGCAAGCCAAAGTTGAATAAGCAACCAAATAGCAACATAGCAGGGTGCGGCAGCCTTCAATGTAGTGTGGCTGCTGGTGGCGGCCAGCCAAACACTCCCTGATTCTTTCAATGCTCCACAGTGTTGCATAACGATGCTTCTAAGGTAAAATCTAATTCAATATAGTCTTTGCGACCATATATGATTAAAAAACAACCCATAAGTTAGGGTTGAAGTTCCACCCTTGGGTCTATCGATCCTCCACCAACTAACCTTTCCATGCCAACACGTTAAGGTTTGTCGTATATGTCCTCTATATATGGTGTAAAACAATATCATAAGTACATTGCATCTTGCGGGCATTGCTTGGCCTCAGGCGCATCATAGGAAAGAAATTGCCTTTGTCTAGATCACAACCTCGTGCAACCCTCTCGCTCTACTTGTCGACCGATTGGTCTTGCAAGCTCCCCATTGACCTTCACCTCCTTGTGTGCGCCATGACAAAATTTGATGCATGATGGACCCGACTGACCATACCACGAAGAAGGTGTAGCAGTATTGTTTGTTAAAGGTTGGAGGTGGTAAAATCAATGATGCTTTCATGGATATTTTGAGTGGTGCGATGTTTTTGCTTATGAGAAGTTTTGTGCACGTCTTACTTGAATAGTGAAGTGCAACTATGGAATTGAGGTTAAATTTCATTACAAATCGTGCAAAGATCAAGCTCTTTCGGTGAAGAATCACTCTAGTGAGATTGAGCTGTTTAATTATGGAGCAGCGAGATCAGGTAAAAAATCAGTGTATTCATTGTGTTTTGTCCACTTAAGTTTCTTTGTTATGCGCAATTTATATTCTTATTAAAATTACTTTTGCTTGCTAGTCACCTGTGATTGCAAATCTTGATCTAGACATAAGGTGTTGGGCATAGTTGAGACTTTGAGTTTTGGGGTAGTGTGTTGTTGTGACTTTGAGTCTTTGGGGTCCAATCATATTGTAGTCAACCATTTGAATTCTTCCGCACTTTTTACAAGTTAAATTTTCTAGAGTTTTAGAACCGACTATTCATTCCATTTTAGTTAGTCTCATGCAAAACATTTTATTAGCTTCTCTAAAATGATGTTATCTAGTCATGTGTTGATTATTATTCTGTGTTGGACTTCTCCTATTCAGTAATATGATGTACATGCATTGCTCTAAGACTCGATTTGTTTTGGATATTTCCGCTAAGAATGGATGAAGAAACAATAAAAGAATTTGTTTTTGATTTTTTCGTACAACTTGGTGTTCTCTTATCCTTTTTAATGTAATCAGCATGAGTTGAAAATTTGTAAGGACTATTAGGTGCCATCGTTAGGCCGGAACTCTTCTTTAAAAAAATAACTTTCACTCATTTGTGTGTCTAGATTAAGGCCACAGGAGTACCTCAAATCTCTTTCCCATCCATGTTTTTTTTGGAAGAAAAAAAAGAGAAAAACTCATCTCTAAGAATACCCTATATCTGTTCCCGTCTCTTTTTGCACTCGGCAAACCGGCCACCATCCTACGTGAAAATGCGCACACCCCAGTCGCGCGCATCTTCCTTCCCCCGCGCAGTCTCCACCTTCGCGCGCTATAGTTTGCCGCAATTGTTCTCCGTCGCACCGTCGCATGCTGGCGTCCGACGCGTACCACGTCCTCTCCGACCACAGACGCCACGCCGAGTACGACCTCCGCCTTCGCGGTTCCACGTCTTCCTACGCACGCACCTCCTCTGGTTGGGTCTCCTCGTCGGCTAGCTACGGGTACGAGTATGGGTACGGCCATGGCAGTGGTTCGTTGCGACGGACGCCTCCGGGGTCACGCGCGGGCGCCTCGGTGGGTCAATCGATTGGGAATTCTTACTGAAGGCAGTCACTCGGCGAGGCTTCCTTATCAATCTGGAATTCTTTTCACCTCGATTGTGCGACGGAGTCCTTCTCGGCCTTGTTGCCCGGCGTGGAGTTGATGAGGATATGGAGCCGTCACAGCCCCGGACGAAGCAAAAGTGCATGCAGATGAGTCTCCTCGGCAGACATGCGATACCGCGGCAGACAGCGTTGCGCACGATCTCCTCGGCCTGTGGGCACGAGTGCAGTAAACCGACCTCCAGACTCCAGTTTCCCCGGCGGCGAGGCGTGTGCCACCGAGGCGACGACGAGCGCCTGCTTGCTTGCTTGCCGGCTGCTGGTTGTCTGGTTGCTACCCGCCGGCTGGGAACTGCTGGGGATCGGCACGAGCATGGAAGCAGGCGGCGGCGAAGCGTACCGATGTCGCGCGAACAAAGGAACTGCCGCAGGAAAAAAAAGTTCCTGTGCGACCAAATTTTGATTTTTAGAAATGAATTATTAGGTTTTCTTGGAGATGGCCTAATTTATTCCTCCTAATTTTTTTATTAGGAGTTAAAAAACACCACGCTTTGAAGAAAAAAATATAGAATATTTTTGGAGATGCTCTTATGCACGGTACAGCCGTCCTGCCAATATACCATGCATCAATGACGTGGAGCAGCGTAGAAATGGCGCGCGGCAATGTGCATTTCTGACAATATCTCCGTGCGCATCAATATCTTAGGCAACATACCAACATTACCAATATGCCAATATACCACACGCATAAATGACGTGAGCAGCCAATATCTCGACAATATTTACGGAGACATAAATTACAAGAGACAACAGTGCAATGTGCATAAGCAACACACGGACAGAAACAACAGAGCATAAAAGCGTCAGAAAGGGCAAGTCAACAGCGGAGGCAACGAGCATCAGTAGCGATTGTCAGAAAGGGAATGCGCTTAGAGGAAGGTCAATAACAGAGTCAATTGTTGGGCTATAAATCAAGTTATAAAAGTCAAGTCATATAATAGTTGTCTCATATTTATTTATAAAAAGTTTTTATTATTATATAATACCATGTCTTACTTTATCTTTTCTACTCCTTCTCACGTAAGTTATTGTTTGGCTCACAGGTGGTTATGCTTGGATGCACTCATGCAGGGAATGGTGCATAATACACAAAACCACATGGACAGCAAGGACGACATGGCATATTCACATTCACACGCAGGACTCGATCAGTTTCCAAGAATGCAGAAAACAGAATAACGAGGGGGGTCATTGGAAGAACCTCTCTCAAGATTCAAGAACTTATCCATTGTATCGATCGAAGCCTGATCATGTTTGTCTACTGCGATGACTGCAGTAGTAGCGGATCCGACAGCCCCGGTGACGACGGCAGCGGCTCCTCCAACTCCAGGGGCGGCAGCGTCAGTGGTGGCTCCGCTGAACCCGAGGGCGCCGGCGACAACGGCGGCGGGCGCGCCTTCCACGGCAGCACGGGGAAGGGGGTCTTGCGGTAGATGCAGATCATGCTCTCCTGCACGAGCCACCTGTCGATGCCGTCTCTGCACCTGTCGCTCTCGCGGCAGTGGAACACGTGGTTGCAGGAGAGGGTGCGCACCTCCTCGTGGGCGTCCAAGCTGTACTGGCACATGGCACAGTTGTAGCTCAGCGGCCGCCGCAGGGTCGTCACGCCGCCGAGCGCCCTGACACGGAGCCACCGCCAGCCTCGCATTAGCTGGCCGGCGTGGCAGGCCTCCATGGCCCAGAAGCTCGCGCCGACGATGAGGAGCATGGAGACGCTGCCCACGGCCACGACGGCGATGGCCTGGCCGACGCTGATGTCGCCCGCCATGGTGGTGCCTTTGGCCCCGGCCTGACTCTTTCTCGCTCTCTCTTGCTATGGCCTATGGACTCGTCTCGCTCTCGCTCTCTTGTTCTCTCGCGTCGCTCGTGGATTCTGCGCTGTGGAAACTTTGTGGGTGGCTGCCTCCAGCCTCTGCCTCTGCCTGCCTGCCTGCTTTGCTAGTCGGTTATGCCAGGCGTCTCGTTTCCCGACGCCAGCAGTACATCAGACGCTGGACGCACAATGTGGCTGCGTCGGCCGGGCATGAAAGTCAACTCTGCGTTCCGAAGGCAATCGGGGTTCGGTCATGGCAGCGAGGCCCGATTTATTTCCTATCCCTAGAGGGCGTGATTGGAAGGTCGGACCGTCCTCGCACCGTTTAGTTGTCTGATTTACGTGGCGTGTTTGGTCGTTTTGTTTGCACCTTTTGTCTGTATCTTTTTATTTATTTGTCCTCCTCCATCTCACGTGACTTCATCTTCTGGATTTCTCCTTTCCTTATGGTGTAGGATGACTTGATTCACCCAGGATGTAGGGACCTATGCGTCAAGCACCCAAAAAAAACTAATGTATGCATGCAATCAAACACAACCCCGTTTCGTACTGAACCAACAGCAAAGACAACTAAACACAACCACCTACACGTGCTCAACCCGACTTCTTCGGTTCTGCATAGCCTGGCCATTCTGGCTCAAGGCTTGCTCTGCAACCAATCATGCCCAGAGTTTACTCCCTGAGCTATTGAATGTTTGACACATATATAAAGTATTAAATATAAATTAAAAAATAACTAATTATACAGTTTACTACTAATTTACGAGACGAATCTTTTAAACCTAATTAGTCCATGATTTGACGATGTTGTGCTACAGTAACACACGCGCTAATGACAGATTAATTAAGTTTAATAAATTCGTCTCGTGGATTATTAATGAATTCTGTAATTTTTTTTATTAGGATCCGAACACCCCATGCGACACCCTCATGTGACACCCAATGTGACACCCAAAAACTTTTCACCCTAGATTTAAACAAGGCCTGAGCCAGTTCACCGGGGCAGGGCACATGGCAGTGGCAGGGAAGGCGAAGCTTGGATTAAAATGGAGAGGTGGTCAATGAACTATTGGTTATGTATAACGGACATGCTTACGTTCATCCGAACGCCCACGCCCGGACGTCCGCGCGTGCTAGCCCGTTTCCCCACACCCCGTTTTCCGCGCCGGCTCATTTTGTGATTCCACGCGGGGCCCGCGGACCCGGATGTCTCCTAGCTGCCCGACCGCACGTGAGGACCGTCTGCCCACTCAACGGCGCCCTAGCAGCTGCAGCAGACGGCTACAACAAGTGGGTCCCATTCAACATGTGCAACATCCGATCTACTTTTGCAACATTTAGATGAAACACTTGCAACATACGTCTGAAACAGCTAAAACACTTGCAAAATACGTCTGAAACACTTGCAAAACAACAGAAAAAACTTAAAAACATGTGTGTTGCCATTAAAAATATTGCATCATCCAGATGAAACACTTGCAACATACGTCTAAAACAGTTGAAAACACTTGCAAAATACGTCTGAAACACTTACAAAACATCAGAAAAAAACTTGAAAACGCGTGTGTTCCATTAAAAACATTGCATCATCCAGATGAAAAACACTTGCAACATACGTATGAAAACACTTGAAACACTTCATATATATATATGCAACATCCAGATGAAACACTTACAACATACGTCTAAAACAGATGAAATATTTGAAACATACACTTGAAACATACGTGTATAGCCATTGCAACATCCCGATCTACTTTTGCAACATCGATATAAAACACTTGCAACATACCTCTGAAACACTTGGAACATACGTTTGTAACATGCGCTTTCATTGCAATGTCACTTTGTTGCATGGACGAATGGAGGCTCGTCATTGCGGAGTTCAATGTCGGCGCGGAGGTCGGTGGCGGCGCCTGGAGCTCACGACGGCGCGGAAGTCGGTGGCGGCGCGGAGGTCAGTGTTGGCGCATGGAGCTCGCGGTGGCGTGGAGGTCCGGCGCAGGCATCTCACCAGTTTCACCGGGGCCGGGGCGCAGGGCACATGGCAAAGAGACGAAAGCTTGGAATAAAATGGAGAGATGGTCAACAAACTTTTGGTTACGTATAGTACGTATCTGTTTCAAATATATGGCATCCTGATGTTGTAAACAAGTTGATACATGGTCAAGCTGGTGTCTCCAACATTTTTTCTTCCTGGGAAAAAATAAAAGAGAAATCGTTTTTATCCAATTGCAAAACTGACAACCTGGACCCACCGACTGACATCACCTGCGGTCCACCCGTCACTAAGGAAAAAGAAAGGCGGAAACCTCCAATCCGTAGCCGCACTGGATGGGGTACGCTGGCTTCCATTCCCACCTCCTGTCCCACGTGATTTTTTTTATTTTTAACACATTTTTTAAACTAATTTCAAAACTGACACTGTTTAAATTATTTTTCCAAATCTAACATTTTTGGCCGTACCTATTAGCACGGCGTGATGAATTAAAGCTGCGCGCCATGCATGGGGCGCGGCGAGGCTGCCAACGTGGTAGCGACCAGGGCCGCTGACCGGTGACGTGGCCAGCTCTGCCGCGCCACCGATCAGGACGCGTCGACCCTGCCACGCCACGCATCACGGCGCGGCAGGCCCTTGTATAGGCTGGGCCTCTCTCTCACGTGACCCATTAGAAGCACAGCCACACCACGTGCCACGCCACCGCCCTGCCCGCCGCCCACGCACACCGGCCGCCTGCCACGCCCGCACGCCTCCCGCCGCGTCGGCCGCGCCACGCACGCGGCGCGCGCGCCGCCACGCCGCCGCGCCCGACGCCGCCGCCGCTGCCGCGGCCGGCTGCGCGCGCCATTTAACGCTTCGCGCGCCCGCTTACGCGACGTCGGCCGCCCGCCGCGCCATGGACGCCCTCACTGTCACGCCGCCGCCCTCACTGCCGCGACCGCCACTGTCGCCGCCGCCCTCACTGCTACGCCGCCGCTGTACACTGCTCCCAACTGTCACACGCCCCTCTCTTTATCCCGTGTCCACCCGCCGCCACCGTCGAGGCCAGCGCCCGTGCCTCCCGATCACCAAGCTAGCAGACATAGAAGGTAAGGGCAGCAGGTGCATATATCATACATTTTATTATATTAATGTTAATTGTTTGCTATGCTATTTAAAACTACTATGTTAGTATATTGGAACTTTGAAGCTATGTTTATTATGATATATGATTATTCTGTAATTTTGCATAATAGTTTATTCCTTTTATATTTACTTTGTTTTTATGCACTAATGTTCTATCAAATTATAGTACTCTTAATGTTTGTTTTAACATATACATTTGAAATTTGAACCAGGATAGGGGATCATCATCCGTAGTACCCCATTCTTGAGGTGCACTACGACAAGGACCACCGAGCCAAGCGCCTGTCGGAGCTTCAGGAGGACTTGGTACCTCTTAGACTACGCATGCACTAGCCGCACCGCTGGGACGAGCGATACCAGCCGTACATACAGCGTGCCGGCTTCCTTGAGATCGTCCGCGTCTTCAATACTGGGCTACCGATCCTCGAACCTGCACTTCTCACTGCTGCTGTCGATAGGTATGATTTGATACACATTTGCAATAGTACAAAGCATTAATTTGTCTTATTGTTTGAATTAAAAAACTTGTTGCATTGAATTAAAAACCCACAGGTGGAGGCCAGAGACCCACACCGCTGAGGAAGAGTCGGACGAGTGGCTTTTTAACGGGCCACTAATTTTCTTCCACGTGGTCGAGATGCACTACCCTATAAGGGTGTATAGGCAGTTCAGAAGATTGTAGCCATGCCCACCGTCGCTGTACACAACCAACAGAAAGTTACACGGGTGCGACAACTAAAACATAATAATTTAGCAGTCATGTTCATACATACAACCACTAACTTACGTTAAACGTATAGGTACGATCGAAGGAACAGGTACAAGGAGAAGAATTGGGCCGTGACACACGCCCCGTTCATCCACGAATGGGACAGTCAGCAAAAGGTCCTGATCGTCGAGATACCGCCGCACGACCAACGCAACTTCGACCGCTACCTCCAATGGTTGCATAGGAGTACCCAAACACATATGCAGGCCCCCTACACTAACAAACCAATTGATAAGGATGAAGACGAGGATAACATCGCTGATGCGTACGACGAGGTGACAAGGATGGAGACACAGCTTTAGAGAGCCCCGCTACAGAGATACGTGGTAAGAAATTTGAATTTCAATACAACTGTATGTCGGCGTTCCTATGAATTATAGTGATACGAACTTAGCTCGCTTGTGTATGCATGCATCACAGTTGACAAGTCTGTCCAACGAAGCAGCCGTGCGACTTCACGAGACCAGAGGGGAGTAGCACGACATTCTACATGTCTTTGTCGATGCACATTCTATTCTCAGAGACATGACAGTGGTTAAATGGTTCTCATGACTCATTCATCTGTGTTTTATTTTTTTGCAGAAAGTGAGGAGGAGCTACAAGAAGCTGGTACAGAAGCTCAGCTGCGTGGATACTCCGTGGGAGATGCCCTATGACCCGAACCTGTCTAGTTCCTTATGCTCGAGCACTATGCCGACACGAGCATGTTCCTCCAACACGACGGCTGGTGGGACCTCTTATGTTCGTACTCCTGGCAATCGCGGCAAGGGTCCTGCGGAGCATGACGTTGAGGATGACGAGATGAGGTGGACGAGGAGGAGGACTATGATGAGATTGGGATGTCTCAGCTTGGTGATGCACCATTTCCTACACAGTTCGACGCACAGGTACATGAAACAACCCTTCGCCATATACGTCACAATTACTTAAACATTGTAAGTAACGATGCTTATATTGTAATTGTAGGGTCCTAGTTACACTCAACAGTATCACCAAGTATACCGCTAGTGAGACCGTACCGACGTTGGGCTCACCCCTAACGTGCTGCCTTCATGTCCG